AGCTAGATTTTTATCAAGTGAAAAAATTATACTCCAACCGGTGATAGATCGAATCTCGTATTTTTTTAAAGCAATTGTACGTCGAAGACAGCTTATCTTCTTCTCCTGGAAATAATTTGAATTAGATATCGGGGATAAGAGGATTGGTGCGTGCGTGCGCGGATAAAGGAAAGCAAGTTCCAGCGATATCTGGCTCGACAGAGTGTGGCACCACGCCTTGCATCACAATGGCTCGAGAGTGAACGCGGAATCGCGAAATTGCGTACGAGCATATCGATGAAACACGCACTGTCGTGCAGGAAATAAGTCGCTCGTGCTGCCTTTATCTTTCGTCTGAATGACTTTCAGCCAATCTTTTGTTCCTTTTCCGTTCTTTTTCCTTTCTACTTTTTTTTCTCTCTCTCTCTCTTCTCTCTCCTCTCTTTCTCTCTCTTTCGACAACACGTCTAATGTCGTGCTCGATAGATCGAGATAGATATTTATAGATAAAGTTGCGCCAAAGTTGTGCCAACGGTGAAAAGTATGTCTCTTTTTCGTCGAGGAATTTCTTATCGCCTTGTTACGTAAGTTATATATCCCGGCAAGGTATTAAGAGAAGTTGGCTCGATAGTTGGAAAATGATTTATTGAATTTCAAGAGGTAATATCGAGCGTTACAAAGGCATTTGATTTGAGGAATAGAAAGTTCCTCGACGTACATTTCTTGACATTAAATTCTTCCAACTTTTTACTTTTTTTTCTCTTTTTTTTTTTTTTTTTTTTTTTATTTTACCAACTCTGTCACAATTTCAAATTCTCCTTACGTCCATACGATGAAATAAAAATTATCGGAGACGGCGAACTTGGAATCGCTCTTGGCTGTGCTCTTCTTCTCTCTAAGCGAGCGAGGCAAAATCCGGAAAAATCAAAAAGAAAAAAAAATAGTAAAGAAAGGCTCGGGATGAAAAATCGGATCCGAATACGAATCTCTCGATATAAATAAACCGGACACTCCATCAAGAATTCGCGATAACTTGCCCAATTAAAGAAACTGTAACACGAGAACGAGATTAACTCGCTTTCCATTTCACTTTGCGTAACGCACACCCGACTGGCATTACCCAAAAAGAAATTTTCAATTCAATTTTAGACAAATTTCACCTCGCTCGTAATCAATCCTAAATCAAAAATACTTACTCTCTCTCTCTCTCTCTCTCTCTCTCTCTCTCTCTCTCTCTCTCTCTCTCTCGTTAAAAATTCTCGAGGAAGAGAAAAATACCCAACCACATTGTACTCTATCGCAGATCCCTGTGGATAAGGAGGGATCGGCACGAAACGAAATTGATATTTACCATTCCGTACCATACGTGAACCATACGTATCACGCGAACAAATGTAAAAAATCGTAAAATTCGCATACCCAATGATTGTATTCGATACCCAATGAATACAGAGAGAATACACGGAGATAGGGACGGACGTGAAAAGGGCGTACGGTCGAACGATTGGCAAGTAGATCGGTTAGAATCGGAGAGAAGCCCGAAGCGAGGGCGCGTGTATCGTGAAAGGTGGGCATGGGCGGTGGTCCGTGGCAGGCTCTCAGTATAGTGGTATGTGCAAGTCCGCAAGGGACACTTCGAGGATCGGGAATAAATTGATGCCCGGTTCAATGGTTCCTGTTCTACCTACCCACGCACGCGATTCAGTCGCTGGTAATTTCCATTGTCGAGCATTGTTTGAGGCCAGTACTCTTGACGGGATTCTCGATCCCTGCATGCAGCATACGCGTTGCCTTTTGTCGGTTTTCCGTTCGTTAACGCCGGTCTAGGTTGATAGGTATATCTATATTCTCGTGTGGATACGAGAGGAGAGGAGGAGGTAGAGGAAGTAAAAGTTGGGTTGACTATTGAAGGTGACAGTTATTGCTTCGAAGAGGATTCTTTTTCGAGAATCACGAAATGAAAGATACGTTTGAGTCTCTTTTTACAGTTTTTTAATTTTTGAGAAAATTTTTATATTTTAAATTGCTGTTTGCATTAGTTTGTTTGAGCTTAACAGGTATGTTTTATAGAATTTTTTTTTTTTGTGCATTTATTTCGATTTTCACTCATGATGCTCGTTCAATAGTTTCATTGAGTGGAATCGATTTGGAATTAATGTGTCTTTCATATCATGTTTTATATGTCGTCTATATCATATTCGAGAAATGATCTCGCGAGTTTTTCGAAAATGATTAAGAGGACTATCTTTAGAATCTTTAAATGTTGGAAAGAAAGTTTGAAGGTATTCGACGAGGCGAGGAAAAGGAAAAGAAAGTTGGACAGTTATGTTCTTTATAATTTCATAACTCTCGCGTAACGATCGTAGTCCGCGATTATAGATCGATTATAGAAGCGGGTCGCGACAAGCATGAAGCGGTGATACGATAACTCAACGACGAGCTCGACTTCCGAGGGTGGTGAAATTGCGGGCCTACGGCGATCGTCGACCGATTTCTCGATGGAAAATGTTCGAAAATTATTCCACGTTATTAAACGTCTTCTCTGCCGGAAGTGATGGAAAGTAAATGTTAAGTTTCAGACCAGGGATTTGCGCTCAAAATTTTGGAAAAGAAGTATTGAAAATTCACTTTTAGAGTTACATTATATACTTCGTTGAAGAAGCAAGTTTCCATAGAAACACAAAAATAGAATTTTTTTAACTGTTTTATAGATTTTATTAAACAGGATTGGAAGAATTAGAAAAATAATATATAAATTTGAACATCTATCCGTGAATATTACATGTATATTAATATAGTCGTGGAATATTTCGATTCTAGAGATCAAGCAAATACAAAAATTGCCAGTCGAGGTTTATTTAAATTATAAACAATTTAAATTTCCATTAGATGAAACGACACAAACGTAGATTCTCTCCTAGATGAAATCTTTATTAACATGTGTATAGTTGCTATAATTTATTCAAAAATATCACTCGAGTGTGAAAAAAACTTCAGATCAGAATTCGGAAAGTTTAAAATAAATAAAAATTTATCGTTTCACTATCATTATATTATGTTCTTCGTTTTCTTCCTTCTAGTTCTTTATCCACGTCTCGAAATGCCTTCCAACAACAATATGTCGGGTGTATGGTTGTCCTCGTTGATTCTTAAACGGTGGACGGAAATAAAAATCGTGGAATGTAAAGGTTCACGTACAGGTGCTCCGGATAATTACACGATGTGTCCAATGCTCGAGAAGCGTGGATGAAATTCCTGGGCGTGGCGTCTCGTCGGCCTTCCTCGCGACGTACGAAAGACTTTCTTGCCGTGTGCAACCTATCTTTTTACGACGGCTTTGGTGCAAGGTCGATCGTTTTGGAAATAACCGGTGTTTTTACCGAAACAGGTTCAGTTTTTTTCTCTTTTTGTAAAAACTCGAAATAATCGAACGAATCACGAATCACGAACGAAAAATTGCCTTCGTTTAATTGGAAATTCTTTTTATCGGCATATATATCCTGGAAGAAAGTAACTGTTCACAGTAGGAGAAGAAATTTTTTAACGTAAAAAAAAAAAAAAAGAAAGAAAAAAATGTAAATTTCAATTATAAATTTTTGCGACGAACATTTCCTTTTCATTAGTTTTCATTAGTTCCAGTGACAACGATTTACGGTATTACGTGTACCGATTTACCATCATATTCAAGGAAGAATTTTACACGTATTATTATTACATTTAATAAATGTGAGATGGCAATATATTTTAGTTCCGGCCAACGGCAAAATGCTTCTTTTATTACACAATACAAATTATCGTAAAACAATAAGCACGATACATAAATGTTCGATTTAGCAAATACTGTGTAATCTTCTTCCATCCATCTCGTGCTATCCCTGTCTTAAACATCCACGCTCGTCCCATCATTATCATCCGATCGTCGATATCTATCGCGTACCTCTGCCCGCTCCCTGCGCGATCAATTACGCATCTAACAAACGCAACGACGATTCGCATTCGAACGACAATCGAATCGTGAATTATAGAGAGGAATTATAGAGAGGAATTATAGAGAAGGAAATCGTGGATTAAAATGGAATGGAATGGAAATTTCTGGTCGGTCGTGAGGGAACCACGCGGAGGATAATCGAGGCGCGCGAAGGTGGATCGCCTACGCCGGCCGATGGAGGGTCGTTTACTCGCGTCGCTCGATCGATGCCATCCGAAGGCCGTGCGCAGTTGTGCGAAAGGATTTTTTGCCAACGTGTCAAGTTCAGCCGTGGTTGCAATTCCACGAGGCGATCGACATGGGCAGGAATCCGGTGGACGAGATTCCGTCTCGCATTGCTGGCCAATTGTTCACCCCGAGAGGGTGGGGCGGAAGTTGTTCGGGGCGGATCCGTTCTTCTCGACATTCCTTTGCTCTCTCTCGATCCTCGCGATTCTTACGCCAACTGTTTTGATACTTTCGAGGCTGATTGCTTTCTTCAATCACATTTGATGGAATAGTAGATGTACGATTATTTTGATAGGAGGATGGTATAGTCGAATTTGAAACGATTTATAAATTTTATATATATATATATTTTTTTTTTATCGATATAACGATGATTTGAGAAATGTCCCTTCAGAGTTGTCTCGAAAGCGTTATATAGAAGGTGCAGATATCGATAAAAGAAATAACGTAACATTTAGAAGAAAATTATAAACCAGTGAGTAAGAGATAATTACACGAGGTGCAAATAAAAAGAACAGATATATATATATATATATATATAAAAGAGGTAGAAAAGTAAGAAAGAGGTAGAGGTTTTTCTTAAAGGAACTACTGTGAAAGAAATTAATATGCCACGTTGGAGTCAAGTGTTCGAAATATGAGAAATAGCAAGAATTGTATAGAATAATCAAATAGCAAAGTATTCATCTTGAAAACATACTATTAGTTCCCTAAATTATTGAATCGAATATTCGTGCTCTTCAATTCCATTAACACGAGAATCTATCGAAGTATCAGTTCAAACTATAAGAAAGAACTTTTAACATTTTTCATAAATACACGAAACTTAATATCAAATCATAAGAAAAGAATATTACAATGTTTCGTGAATCGATATAACATTATAATTTATCGCCATAAAAATATCTTTTCTCGCTCAAATGATGTTCAAACGTTAACGCTCTCAAAATCAAGAAACGAGAAATAACAATTTACTCATTATAATAATGAAAAAAGGGAAGGAAAAACAGGGCCTACGACATTATAATTTACCGCCATAAAAATATCTTTTCTCGCTCAAATGATGTTCAAACGTTAACGCTCTCAAAATCAAGAAACGAGAAATAACAATTTACTCGTTATAATAATGAAAAAAGGGAAGGAAAAACCTTCGACATTATAATTTATCGCCATAAAAATATCTTTGTTCGGCTCAAAGAACGTTCGAACGCCCTCAAAATCAAAAAACGAAAAAAAATAACAATTTATAATAATAATAAAAACAGGGCCTACAATATTCGAATTCGAAACATAACTTTACGTACACAATGCAAATGTAAATATCAAATCAGAGATTCGAATATTCGAGAAAACAAACTGGCCCTAAACTCTCGATCCGTGCAACTCGTTCCGGAAATCGGTATAAATAACGCAATATTTACACATAAGGTTGACACGATGATCGATCCCTATCGTCTATAATTAACCGTGTAAGAGGCTACCCCGGCGTTTGGATCTACGTTGGGCGCTGGACGACCTTGAATTCCGCTTTGGATCGGCGCCGCGGGATACGCGGCTCGCTGTTGCTGCTCCTGATACTGCGGTTGATACTGCGATCGGTACTGCGGTTGATACTGCGGTTGGTACTGGGCCTTCGGCTGGTATTGCACTTGCGTGGGATACCTGCAAACCGAAACGACGAAATTTCGTCGGTTAATTCCACTGTTTAACTGTCCGTCCGCGCGTTAAGCCGAAGCGTGTTGCGAGTTGTGCAAGTCACGTTTCGAGCGAGCTGAGATTCACGTGACATTTGAACGAGCGGATAACGTGTAACGCCAGCTCTGAGAAAATTCCTTCTCGGGGGATTTTAAAACGTTTTAAGGTGGTTGGTCTTTGAAAAATTTCAATCTACTAGTGAGGATAATTTTTTTAATGTATTATACATGTGTGCAATATTACTATTTTCCGAGTATATTACGCGTAAATGTTTTTTTTTAGAATTTTAAGCAATGTTGGTTTTAAAAGAATCTGAAATTCGTAATGATTTTATAACGTTTTAAGGTCTTTGAAAAATTTCAATCTACTAGTGAGGATAATTTTCTGAACATACATACGTAATATTATTATTTTGAGTATACTACACGTAAATATATATATTTTTCAGAATTTTTAGAGGTAAACTAATGTTGATTAGTTTCAGGAGAATCTTTCCGTACGTAAATGAAGCTATCAGTGACTTTAAATATCTATTGAAAAATTTTAATCGATGAGAAGAATTTTCTGAGAATATCTTACGTATAAGAAATTTGGAAATTTCTGAAATAAAGGATTAATCTTCGAATAATCTTCTTAATAATTAAATTTCTTACCTTGGTGGGTTGTAGATCGGTGCAGGAATCGGTCGCGGTTGGTTGTTGACCAAAGGTCGACGAGGTTCGTATCGTTCTCCATTCGTGAAACGAGGATCCGTGTAGTAAACGGACGGATCTTCTCTGTATTGGCCGTCGTCCTCGGGTTGGTTAGGATTCGCGATACTGTTACCAGTCAGGGTCGGTGGTGGAACGTTTATACCGGGACCTTGGGGTTCGAATCCTCGCCTCGAAGCTCCATATTCCACTTCACGAATATTTCCAGTGTCGTCGACGAATCCGTATTTCCCGTACACTTCTCCAGTTGGATATTTGGACTCGATCTTGTAAGAACCATCCGCAGCCTCGTATCCGTAACTGTAGCTACCGTCTTCGTTGTGTCTGATCATCATGAAATGTGATAATTAACCTCAATATCAATATATCTTGATATTAATATTTCATGTCAATATCTCGTGTTTTTCGACTCGAAAATATTGTTACGTGAAAATTAAATTTTCAAACGATCAATCGTAGATATAAAGAAATGTAATATAAAACGGTTGTTTAAAAAGTTGAAACGTAATAGTATATATCTTACACCTAATCTATTATGAAACATTGTATTATTTTGTAACATTCAGGCATCCAGTTTCATTGATTTTTGTTATCTCTTGTGTCACTCGCCCTCCAATCAGAATGCTAGAGAAAAAGTTGAGGAAATGTGCGGAAATAGAGTAACGCAATACTTATGTGGCAATTGCATATCAATTGCAGAAATGAGTAGAAGTGTGAATATACCCTTGAAATTATAATCCATAATTTATTTCGGTATTTCTTCTTTTTTTTTTTTTTTTGCTAATCAAAATAATATTGAAAAAGAATAAAATTATTTATTCGTTATTTATTTATTTATATGATCTCACGCTTCTGGTCGATAGCCTGTTAGTTAACAGATAAATAGTTGTTGATACGGGAATGAGGTGAAAAAAAGGAGGAGAAAAAAAAGAAAACATCGTATTGTTGTGCGGATTTAAATCTTATGTCGTGATAGCGAAACGGCACTTACTTATTTATCTGCTTTAAAATGGGCACCGGCGTGGTCACGGGATATTGCTGGGCGAGCGCAAGGCCAATGCAAGACAAGAGAGACAACAGCACCTGGCGATACAAGTTTTGCATAAAATTGCTGGTATTCGACGAATCACTTTCCAATAATTTCGTTGCATTATGGAAAACAATTTTTATTACGTGATTTAAATTCATTTTCTCTATACACTGTGAATTATCTTTTATTTTCATTCCAAGTGTGAAAGATTAAAGATTTAAAAAGAAAAAAAAAAAAAAATTGAAATTCAATACAAAAATTTACAAAAATCTACGAGATATCTTATATAAAAGAAATTTTAAATTAAAAATTATATAAAGTTTGTTGTTGGAGTATTTCGAAATATTAGAAAGGGAAAAGAACTCGATAACCTATATATATATATATATATATTCTATCTTCTCATCAGTGAAAATGTAAATCACGAGCAAAGATTATCAAATTAAAAAGTACCTAATAGTAATTCAAAGTAACAACAATATATTAATTTAAAATACTAAGAACATACTAATAAAAAAAAATATACATTAATTATTCTCGATAAAATTAAAGATCACAAGAAAGAAAACAGAAAAAAGAAACACATATATCACTAATATAAAAAAAAAAAAAACACAAATATCACCAAATAATTAAATCAATCGATTCACTGACTCAAACCTCCAAATAAATTTATTGGTTAAATTTACAAGCAACAAAAAGCACTGTCTTTGTATTAAATCCATCCCCTTCCCTCTCCCCTCAAAAAGAAAAAAAAAAACGACCAAACATCGCGTTAAAGGCACTGAACCAAGGCGAAAAAAAGAGGGAAAGCGAGGAATACTCACTGGAGGACGCATGTCTCGTCGCTGATGAGGCAGACGCGATTGTGTTATAGGATCGCGTTACACCGGCCGCGAGTCAACTTATATAGGTCCCCTTGGGGAGCGGCGGGGCCCGCCCATGGGCCCGACCGCCGCCTCAACCTCGCCGCGATCTAAGCACCCAGGGTTCACAGCACCGCGCAACCACGACTTTGAAAATTTCTAACCGCGCCAATTTTCATTCGTCGTCGAGCGTGACAGTGTCTCCGGCTTTTTCACGTGTCCATACGCGCCACCTGTTGCGTAAACGCGATACCGATAGGAAAATGGAGGTCCTTGCGGTGTTCTCGAGGACAGGGATTGTCAGGGAGAATTGTCAGGATTGGTGTTTTGGAAATCGAACAAGCTTGCCAAGTGTGAATTGCGATTCGAATTGTTAGCTTCGTTTTACGTGTTTCGTAGAAACGTGTTGTTGGAGGATCTAGGATATTTGTCGTGGTTGAGCGTTTTGTTGCGTTGAGTTTATAGGTTAGGTTTTGTGGGAAGTTTCTATTTGTTGAAAATTTGTTACTGGCGATGGATTTGTGCGAGATTTATTGATGATAGAAGTATCTTTGATTATTTTTTTTAGAGAGTGTGTTTTCATTCATGAAAATTGGATATTTGTTAAAATGGAGATATTAATATTACACGTGCATCTTATTATGAAATAAAATGAACGAAGTAGAATCGAATGATAGTTTGAATTTTAGATAGATTTAAATAAAGATTGTAAAGTATGAAGCGAAGCGTACTTCACGAAATACGTACATACGTTTAAAGTTTTCCACAAACAGGATTTTACAAGGTGATCATCTGAAGATTTTTCGCAAGGACATTGTCTGAAAGAAGTTGTTTACTTCTTGGATATCAGTGATTTTTTTCATATTTGTCTAATGAGATTGGAACTGTTTTTTATCCTTTCTCTAATTTTTTTCAAGTTTTTTTATAATATTTTCGTAAACAGTATATAAAAAAAATTTTTTTTTCCATTTTGATATTTTTTTTTAAAATAAGAGAAGGAAGGAAGCGTTACTATTGTAATTGCACAAATGACTGATTAATCGAGAACTTTCCCGATCATATAAGAGAATTTCTTGACATTTATCGTGGCAACATTAAGGGCATTATAACGTTCAACAGAGTGAAATACACTCCTTTGGCTATCTTGCAATCCAAGTATCCGATTCGTGAGAATAAATTTCTGTAGAAATAACTTTCACACTCAGAAACATCTTTTTTCAAGCGATACTCCTTGTGTTTTTAAATCACAAAATAATCACAAAAATCATAAAAATAGTCAATTTTTATCGCGAATCGACAAGGCGTGACAATCAAAGAAATGATAACATGGAATTATATAATATACAAAAATATATTTCATTGAAATTAATCGTTTATTATACAATTATCCAATCTCGGTGAGATTTAGAAATTTCAAGATACAAAAATTATTTAAAATAATTATTTTATCATCGATAAAGACATAAATAAGAAATCGAATATATTATATACACAAAAATAAAAAATAAAAAAATAATAAGTATCGATAAATTATAAAAATCATAAATAATTTCACAATAAAATCTCTATTAATCGCTTTCTAATATAATCAATAAATAATATATATTTTTTTACTAAGAAATTGTCCAGTATTTCAAATACTAGAAATAACTCTGTTCGAATCGTCGCACGATTTAAATTTTCCAAGCGATTCTCGATCGATCGTGATCGTAATGCGTACGTTACGAAGACATCCGACAAGTTGCGGTGAAAGTACAAAAAGACAATGTCCAGGAATTTAGATTTGTGAAATGATAAACGTGTGGCAACCTGGTTTTACGTTTTCATTACAATTGAATCGCGAAAAGAGTTCAATGCTCGTCCTAAGGGATGCTCGATCTCTCAATTTACGTAACATTGTTACGTGCGACATAATTTGATATTAATGTCTAGCCTACAAAAAGTGACCGGGTTTTTTGATTGTCATGATGATTAACATTAACGGTTTAACTACTTTCTTCCTTTTGTTGAAAGAGTTACAATCTATTTCGACGATCATAAAGAATCGTTAAAATATGTGCAAGAGAGTTCTGAATATACAAAATATTAATTATCGAAGAGACTCATTAAAATTTCAATTATTGTAAAAAACAAAAATATTGAGTTGTAATAATATAGATTAAGACTATGATTTAATGTTTTCCTCGAATAGGCTTGGTAATTGATTTAATATGATTGCAAGGTGCAGGATATTGACAATGTGGCAATATCCTATATTTGAAGAACAAATTAACTATGAATAATGAATTTTTTTTTTTTTGTTATCGTGTAATGTTTTGATTGAAGTTCCTCGTTTCGCCGTAAGAGAGCGACACTTTGCTGTTATAGATTGACTACGTATAATACGCCTGACCAATGATTACCCATTCTACTGCGATGTACACATAACACCTATTAAAATAAAAATATTTATGAAAAAATTATTTACAAATATAAAAATTGAATTTCAATTTTCATTATTTAATATAACATAAATTTCAAAAAAAAAATAGTGAAAGAAATTATTATTTTGGAATTATGGAATTAGAAAATAGAATTAGAAAATTTACTTTTGAAACATCACATTATAAAAAAAATTTCCAAACAATTTCTCTCTTTATTAAAAATATTCAATCTGACCAACACACATTCTTTTCCCACCTATTTATCAATAACCACTCATTAAATCTCATCACGAAAGACGAAGACGATAACAAGATAAGAGGCCAATAAAGGGTCGAGTTGCATATTCGTGCAATTACTTTAATTGATTCATCCGCCGCTTTATCAAAAGTTGTTCACACAGTGGAGCAAAAGGTGTCGTGAGTGTCGATACTCAATCCTTTTGCGCCTTAAATTCACAAATCTCGATTATCATATCGATCGAAGCGAATCTCTCGTATCAGTTTTCTCGAACAGTTTTACAATCACGTTACACGTGATATACGAAATTGAAACGTCACATAAAATAGACGTAATAATAAAAAGGGCAATTATCGCGTGCTCGAACTTTTCATTCTTACTTACAAGGCGGTATTTCATGGAATGTAAAGTCACGAATCCAGGGAATGGTGGTCGTATTAAAAATTTAAAGGGTCGTGATGTGCTGCTCGAATACAAGTTTTAGGCGGTAGGTGTCCTCCAATGGTGAAGTGGAATGGCAATTAAAACGAGTTTACGAGTTTCTTCGATTTTGTCGTTTCTTTTTAATGTAGACACCTTTTTCTATATTTTTCACTCTGTGAATGTTACGATCCTCGGATTATTTGTATATCATGGGTCCACAAGGTAAAATTTAGTTAAATGAATTTCGATTAACTAAATTTGCCCGATGCTCAAGTATTTAAAATGGAGGGATGGAGCATTAAATAACCCTTTATTAGTTAGGGTTTGTTAAAATGGCGAAACGAATGTTGAATTTTCTATATAGAAATAGTACAAAAAAAAAGCCATTTTAGTTCGGGATCATTTGAATATTTATAATTTATAGAAGAAAATAAAATGAAATAATGAGAAGTAATGCATATAGAACACATATCTTTTTAATTTTTAATTCTTTGAAAATTTCTTTTTCATTTTATCCAATTATAGCAATTCAAATATTGCTCTCTCTACGATTCATAAAATAATTCAGAATCAGAACAACTTTCCATACACAAAATTTCTAATTTCACAAACATTGTCGTTAATTTCCACTACAAAATTACACAAGTGTCAACTCGAGCCAACATCACAATCGCGGCAAATTGCACGATCCTCAACAACTCGAATCGACCGCCATTCGTCGCGATATCGAAACAATCTACGGATTCACTACTTCATTACTTAAAGCATCGTGATCGTGAATAACGAGAATTCCGGCCTGATTGCGCGTTATCTTCGAATCATCCACGATAAGGGTCTCCAATTATTCGAAGGATGAGTCACGCGCCATAACCGGTCCAACCGTGGTCTCGAATTATTTCGTCGCGTATATATCATAATCGAGAGCCATTTATCGTAGTGCGTTCAGTGCGTGTATCTCCGATTGGATGAGTTTTACGAGCATTACGAGCATTAAGATGCAAGAGCGAAACACGATATTTTTTTAGCGATCGTTCGTCGATAAATGAAAAAGACGTCGCTCTTTGAGAATTGAGATCGAGCGTGGAGGATTAAGACGTTCGATTTTTTACAATTATTTATTTTTAACAAAACTTTGTGAGCATTGAGATTTGTGTCTTTTTAGAGAAATTAATATACAGTACAATGGATTATACAATTTTTTTTTCTGGAAAATATGAAAATATGAAATTTGTCAATCATAAAAATTTTCGTATATCAAAATATTATTGAGAAAACTTTGTGAATGTTGAGAATTGTTTTTTAGTGAAGCAATCTATCGTAGAGTGTTATAGATTGTATTTGTTTTTTTTTTTTTTGAAATATCAATCTGAAGAAACGAAATTTAAATTTTGAAGTTTGAAGATTTGTTTCTACTGTGAGATACAAATAGCTTGATAAACTATAGCTATAAGCTACAAGAAAGACAATATCCTTGATCGATATCAATTTTTATCATTGTATTTGCATACTGTATATATATATGTATATTACAAAACCAATACAATATCTAATTATAAAAAATGATCTCGATCATATCATTTATTTTATTACATTACACGAAGCTAATTAAACACGACAAAGAAAATAGGACGATAAAATCAAGGGAAACGAGCATCGATGATGTGACGTGTAATTTTAAATAATTGACAAATTAACGATTATTATTAAACAGTTCTTGCGTATTGAAATATTCAATATTCGATATACCTCTTCTTTATGGAAATATCTTAAGCCATGTGTTATTGAAAAAATGAAGCAAAAGATTGAAATTCGATATTAATATTACGACGTGATTATCTCATTTATTTATCAATATCACATAAACTATACTGGTGGTGGTATATATATCGTATATTATCATTGCATAGGATTTCTATATTACAAAACTGAGAGATTTTTAATGACTTTTAATGAACTACGAACCCCCTTCCCCCTCCCCC